ATTTCTCCAACATCTTTTTACAAAAAAAAATTAATTTTCTTCAATTCTTCCTTCACAAAATGCCTTTGCTTCTCCACAACTTCTGGGAATTTTTTTTGTGACTTCTTCTGAAGTCAGAATAATTAGTTGCTTAATTACTCTGCCATATCCTGGTTCTGCATTATCAATTCTCCCGTTTCAGACTGTAAGGGACCGACATGTTCTTAACCGGTTTCTTTTTACATACTTTTAGAAGTTCCTACAATCCACCTCTATGTTCTTTGTAAGTTGACTTTCATACTCTAATTATCCCCTCTTAAATCAATCTCTTGGTCTTCCTTCAATGAATTCCAAACCTTTCCCATCCTCAGACTTGCTATTTTAAGAATCAACTTTGCATGATTCCTCTTTGGATCTAACACTATGCTTAAATTTTCAGCCATGGTTAGGCCACTTTTAATTGTCTGATCTTTTACACAATAGGAATATACAACTGCTGCAGTGCATACATTTACTCCTTAAATTTTAACCAATACCTATCCATCATCATGCCTGTTAATAAGTTATCCAGTCTATCAAAACGAACTTTTCTAGCATACTTTTGTAGTTTCCTTCATTTAGATTTAGAATCAGAGTTTCAGATTAGGCTGCTTCACATTCTATTCCAATTAAGAATTCTATCATGACATGGTCACTTTTTCCTAAAAGGCTTTTCGTAACGAGATTGCTAATAAACCCCTGGCATTGCACAAAATAAGTCTAAGATACCTTGTCCCAAGTTAGTTCCTCAACTAATTAGACTGAAAAGTAAATTATCCTGCATACATCTCAGGAATTCATCTGCTACAGTATTATTACTAATGTGGTTTGCTTTGATGGTGTGTAGATTCATATCAAAAATTAAAATTGTTACTGTAGCACCCTAGTTGCATGCATCTCTAATTTCCTGTTCAATGTTGTCCTCTACTTAATTACAACCTTTTGGAGGCCTCTAGACTATTCCCACGAAAGTTTTCCACCCCTTATTTCTTCTTAGCTACACCCATGCCTGTTCCATACCGGTATTTCCTCAGTCAATAACTTCTGCCACAATAACATTGATTTATTCTCTCACTAACAATATCAGCCCACCTCATCTATATTTTACCTGTACTTCCTAAAATTTGAATATTCTCGAATGTTCAATTTCCAGTCAAAATATTCACAATCATGATAGGTTAAGACAGAGTAAATAAGGAGAAAATGTTCCTACTTGTGAAAAGATTGATAATGAGAGGGCGCTGAAATTTTATAAGTAGTAAAAGAAGCAAAAATCAGTATGAGGAATAACTGTTCCAAGCACTAAGTAGCTCATATCTGGAATGCATTGCCCAGAAATGTGGTAGAGGCACAAATGCACACAGCCACGAGGAGAAAGATGGAAACAAGATGCCAGAGAGCCAGCACTGAATCATAGACTTCCCTACAGGGTGTAAGCAGGCTATTCAGGCCCATTGAGTCCACACCGACTCTCCGAACAGCATCCCACCCAGATCCACACTCCTACCCTATCCCTGTAGTCCTGCATTTACCCTGGCTAACCCAGGTAGCCTATATATCCCTGGACACAATGGGCAATTTAGCAGGGCCACTCCACGTAACCTGCACATCTTTGGACTGTGGGAAGAAACCGGAGCATCCGGAGGAAACCCACACAGACATGGGGATAATGTGCAAACTCCATATAGACAGTCGCCCAATGGTGGAATTGAACCCAGGTCCCTGGCACTGTGAGCCACTGTGTACAGATCCTTTGGACTGAGTAGCTTCCTCTCTTGTACTGTGACATGTCAAATTGCCAATGTTCGTTTTTAGATTTCAATGGTGAGTTCAGAATCACACAAATAAGCAGCAACTTCTTATTATTAAATCTTGCATTATTTAAATACAGCTTGGAACTGCCCCCGGGACTGCCAAGAAACAATGTGACACAACTCCCAACAAAAAAGTCGCAGACTTAGTTTGCCGCTTCCATCTCAGGGCTTCCATTTTAAAGGTCCTTTCACCAACATCACGTTGCAAGCACAGTTTCATGGTGGGGAGGAATTTGGAAAGGTAAAGGTGCAGGTGGCTTTAAGGGAAGAGGGTCAGCAGAGGCATTGAGACCTTGATAGTTACAGGCTTGGGTTATAAAGTAACTAAAACAACACAGGTTTGGATGAGATCAAAACTAATTTGTAGTAAAAATGAAGACTCACACTATATTATTGAACAAAGGTTACAACTGCAGACACTGGTGCAAAAGGAACTTCAGTCAAAACATAAACTTGGAATTCTGCCCACCTGAAAAAGAAACCTTTTCTCCCCCCCTCCCCATCATTTACCATCTACAAGGCTTATGTTGGAAATATGATGAAGCGCTCTCCTTTTGCCTGAACAACAACACTGAAGTAGACTGATATCATCCAGGAAAACACAGCCCACTTAACTGGTACCCATCCAACACCTGCACCACCAATGCACAGAGTGTGTACTAGCAGCACTGCAGGTTGCACCTCAGCTCCTTTGACAATACATTCCAAAGCCATCATGTCTACCACCCGGATTATGTATGGGAGCACTGACAACTGCAAGTTCTCCTCCAAACCACATAGCTACCTAACTTAGAACTATAATTGCTAGTCAGATACAAATTTTCATATTTCTTAGAAGTTTATGCTGGCAGCGTCAGCACGTAGTTGAGCTTTTTGTTTTTGCAACTACTGTCCACTTGTCACTTTAGATTGTTTTAATTTTACACTGAAGGGTGTTAAGATGATTGGCAATAGGTTGTCTTCTGTTGGCTGGTCAGCTGAGACTGATCAACCGATTTCTTTATGGTTTACAAATCTTCAAATTCTTCAAAATTTTCAATAAACCAGTCCCTGTTCTTCTTGGGTGTCAGATCTCATGACCACATTGAAGTTATCAGTAATGAGACTGGAGTTGTCCAGTCTGATCTGCTTGATAGCGACTTCGACAAGATAAGATTTGCAGGTTGCTGACTCAATACTTGGATGGATTGTCTCTATATCAGTTCTTGGGCTTAGCCTTGAACTAGAAATTCAGCTTATAGTGATCGAGCCAGTCACTATGGCTTTCCTACCTTTGAAGATAACATCAAAGAAATCATGAAATCTCTGATCAATAGCAGTTGTAGCCAGGGTTGTATTTTGGCATGCTATCTTACATAGGACCACTCTCTTGACGCAAAAAGCAGAAATTGCTGAAGAAGCCCAGGTCTAAAGGGTCACTGGATTTGAAATGTTAACCCTGCTTTCTCTCCACAGATGCTGCCAGATCTGTAGAGTTTCTGCAAATTTGTTTTTTTTTGTTTCAGGTTTCCAGGACCTGCAGTTCTTTGTTTTATTTTATTGCCATTTTGATGTCTAGTCTGGTTAGTTCAGGGACACAAAAGTCGAGTGTTATTTAGGATGGCTGTTACTAATTTCAAACAGTAGTTTCACATTCCAGCAGCCAGGTTTTGGAATTTTTCTTCTTTTCCACCTTTTGAAGTAAGATTGTTCTTTTTGCCTGTATTTCAGTTTGACAGCATTAAGAGATGCCCTTTGACTGCAGTAAATCAGTCATAGCCACGGGAACTAGGCCAGTGCCAGTGAAGTCTCCAAACTGTGGGTTCAGAATCTGAATTTCCCTCTCCTAGGTGGGTTGCCAAGCAAGGCTTAAAAAAAAACACTCCTATCCTTGGTTTTTTATACATAGTCTGGTAAACCAACAACTGTAATACAGAGTTAAGGAGTCAAGAGTTATACAGCATGAAAACTGACCCTTCTGTCCAACTAATCCACACTGACCATGTTCCCAAATTAAACTAGTTCCACTTGCCCGAGTTTGGCCCATATCCCTCAATCTTTCCAGTTCATGTATTTATCTAAATGTCTTTTAAATATTGTAACTGTACATGCATCCACCACTTTCTCTGGCAGTTAATTTCACACACAATCCACTGTGTTTAAAAAAAGTTGCTCCTCATGTCCTTTTTAAAAATCTCTCCTCTTACATTAAAAGATGTCCCCCTTGTTTTGAAATTCCCCGATTCTAGGGAAAAGGCCCTTGTTATTCACCTTGTCCATGCCCATGCCTTTATAAACCTCTATAAGGTCAATCCCCAACATCCTATGCTCCAGTGAACAAAGTCCCAGCCTATTTCTGTAACTCAAACTGTCCATTCCCTGCAACATCCTGGTGAATCTTTTCTGAACCTTCTCCAATTTAATAATGTACTTCCTATTGCAGGGTGACAAGAACTGCATACAGTACTCCAAAAGAGGCCTCACCAATGTCCTGTACAACCTCAATGTGACATCCCAACTCCGACACTCAAAAGGTCCGAGTAATGAAGAGAAGTATGCTAAACATCCTCTTAACCACCCTGTTTAATACACGGAATACGGTATGCTTTTGCTCCAAGACGTGATCAGTTTAGTCATTTCGGCTATATGGATTTCTTCCCACCTGACAGTTATCTTTACCTGGAGCTGTCAATGTTCATTTGTTCTCCCCTCAGCCAAATAAGGGCTGAACAATTCATATGACTGTGATAAACTATAGATTTAAAGTAATAGTCAGAAGGAATTGTGAGGAGTGGAGAAGGAATATTTTCATTGAGAGTTATGGAGGCTGGAACTCTGTCTGAAGAGAGTATCAGAAGTAGAAAATCTCATAGCATGTATAAAACACCAAGATGGGCACTTGAAGTTCTTGTATTCTACAGGTCTAAGGAGGGGAGATTAGACTGAACAGCTTTTTTTCCCCCGGCCACAAAGATAATGGTGTGAAACGGTCACATTCTTCTGTGCCAGTCTAAGTTTCTAATTAAACGTAGTTTTTCATGCACTTAATCCTACTGAAAGATTTTAAGGCAGACAGCAAACACTCTCTCTAAAGCTATTTGGAAGAAACAATGCAATGAATCCACTGGATAAACTAAATATTAAACTCAGTATTTTCAACATTAGGATTATGAAATTATTTCTCCATACCTGTTGGAGACTTTTGAAATGAAGATGCTGTGTGATTTATTTTGTGGTCTGCAACTACTAAGTTATGCGAGGTAGAAATTGCATGATCTGTGGTCTTAAGCTTCGAAGGCTGCAACTCATTTGCCTACATAAAAAGATATAATACTTAATATTCTAGATGACATACAAAGACAAAAATATTCAAAAACAAATTATAACTTTGTTCCGATCATGTAATATGAAACTAAATTTGACTCAGTAAACTTTACCATCTATCATTATTCACTAATAGGATTTGGTAGACTGAAATTAGTAGACTGAGTCAAGACAACAATCAAGCTGCAAAAACTGATGTATTCTAAAACTCTATGTACTTATTCAAAAATAAAAATACAAAATCGTCTGAAACTTAAGAGGCATATTATAGTTATTAAATTTGTCAGGATGTTAATGGATACTTAAGGGTGCAAATAAAAAAAGAATGGACTTCTTAAACCACCTACAGGACTCCTTACTCAAGCAGTATGTTTGCCTATAAAAGAAGAACACCTTGTCATATCCACTTATTGGCAACCAGTTAGATCAGGAAGCTGAGTAAGGAACATAACGTCATCTACCATACAGGTGGATCATAGCTAATCTGAAATCTTCGGTTCATTTTTCTACCTCTGTTCCATAACCTTGATGCCTTTAACAACAACAAAGCAAACAACTTGCATTGAAAGCTCCAATATTTCAAAGTCAGTGAATATCCAGTGATTACAGCCTTAAATTCACATGCTTTTAAAAACAGGCCAAATGGAAAAAGGTACAAAAACCAAGCCAACTGGATTGAGAGAGGGTAAATTTTAGAAAATGCAGGATAGAATTAGCTGAGGTGATGTGTAAAGTGAAGTTAGTGCACAGAATTACTGATCAGCAACGAGCTATTAAAAAGAAAATATAAACAGGGGTTTAATCTATCCACTTCCCATTTTAATGGTGGGGGCAAGATACTGGCAATTGATATACTCTCACGATCTTTCACTCATTTAAATATTGAAAGAAGGCTGGATGCTTTAGCTTTTTATTCTGCATCCCAGGGTTAAAAGGTGACTGGCCAGGTTTCTTGGGCCTTGGAAATGCAGCAAGTAACAGGTCAGCACTGATGTAAGCGGCATGTGACCTTCCAGAACTGTTCGAGAGCCATAAGCAACAGGTGTGCTAATTCCACAGCACCAAGAAAGCCCAGCAAGACATTTAGCAATTGGATCCACACCTATTAGAGTCATCCTGCCCCAAAGTCTTTCCAGGGCCCTCCAAAATTTTCTTTCATGCTCACCCAATCTTCCTAGCCTCACCATGAATGTCCCTTCTCACTCTCCATCATTCCAACCAATCTACTGATGTCACCCAACCCTCAAGCTCTACCTCTTCTTCTCAAATGACTGCCTACAAGAGGAAATGGATTTCAAAAATGGACTGAGACCCAGGAAAGGGGCAGGGGCAAGGCCAAGGCACTGCACATAATATGCCAGAACTAGACAGCAATATTTCAAATCCCCAATTTGAAACTGAAAATGTAAGGTGATAAAAGGAAGCTGGGGAAAGATGGAGTTCCAGGCTGAGCATGGAGTAGAAACAGTGAGGAAAAGGTCATGTGAGTAGGCAAGTCACAGAGCAGCAGTCTACTAACTATGTTAAGGAGAAACTCAGAACATTAAGAGGAAATCGATTTTATAAAGAACTTCAACAGAATAACATTAAAATTGTCAACAGTAAGTACTTACTGTAAAATACACTATACTTTACAGAATCATAGCTTACATTGTAATTTAATTTTAATAGTTTGTTTAGGACTACAGCACAATGAATGTCAAGGTTTTAGGAAAACTCATTAGCAACACTAAGCTTTCCATATTTGAATATTTATGTTCAGTAATGTGCAACATCAAACTGTCACATGGTGCCCATTGCCTTGGATTATTTCTCCTTGTGACAGCTCTGTAAAAGTAACCAAAAATGCAAGCAAATTATAAAAGGGGTTTTGCAAAAGAATCAACACAGAACATGGTCTGCTAGATATCCAGTAGTGGAAAAACATGTGGTACCTCCAATGATAGGGAATTATATTTCTAATTTTGAAAAGAAACTTCCAGTTCTTGCCTGGATATCTATGCAAATCTTAAAAATCATGCATTAACCATCTGTTCACACAGATACTTCAAACTTCTTAAATCTAACAAAGGGAATGTACCATATAGGGGTCTTCATTATTCAAGTTGTTTTGCAGCATATTACCCTGAAAATTCAATGCAATACCACACCTCCCAACACATTTCTTTTCACTTTTGATTTTTCACATCCTAATAGTAATGACAATTCTGTTCTCAGCAGCAACTCAATATCTTGAAAAATACATTTCCCAACAATAAAATGGGAGGTTACTCAAAGCACCTTCATTCTAGCAGAAGAGACTAACGTTATTACATGCAACCCCATGTATGCCAAGCAGAAGCAAAACCAATGGACAAATCTCTAAAAGAGGTATCACAAAAACTTCAAAATGTCACAACATCAGCTGATTAAAAATATATTCCTGGAATTTTAAAATCAGCATAACTAAATTGCTGTAATACTTTTTAAAATAAAGTTGATTAAAAGCCATGCTTGAATCCAAATACTGACCAAGTAAATTTCTAAGCTTCTTAAACTGATAGTTAATGACTAATGACTAGTCTATAAAATATACTCTACGCTAAATAACTGTCCAATGACCTAGGAAGGGAAGTGTGCATTCAAATTCACTGGGTTCAAGATCAGTTTTTCAGAAAGATATGAATAAAACCAATGGCTATTCTTGTTGCCACCAAGCAGTGGGCACCTTCACAGCCACAGTCCCTTCAATGTCATTACAAGCAACCAGATAGGACTGGCGCAATAGTTCCATATTTTATTTTGAGAGTAGCCTGGTCACTGTCTACAAAAGGTGATGCAAAGGAGCACTTTGTCACCGTGGGCTGTTCCTCTCACTAACCCACTTCCAAATATGAGAATGAAAATAAAACCTAGATTATGAAAACCAGAGACCTACAAAAAATTGTCTGAAAATTATTCACAACTATGAATGTTAAGTTTAGGTTGCATAATGCAGCTGGTAGGAAATAAAAGGCCATTTGTTAATCAGATCCGTGAAACTGAAGGATTATACTTATTTGATATCTTACCCGAGTAAATGTTTGGAATTCATTTTGACATGTTATGTATTTTGTTGGAGACTCCTGTCCTAGTTCTTCATCTATTAAAGTTGAATCATTCATTGACAGTTGAGAGAGTTCAGGTTCTTCCATGATCCCAAGATTTGATCCAATTTCCTAAGAGTATTTACTAAATGGATTATTACAATTCCCAACAGCACAAAAATGATGAGGGGAAGCTCAAGGACACGGCTCATAAAAATGCATTAGATTCAACATCATAAGCACTAGCTTACTATTATTTTAATTAAATAATATCGCAAAAACTTGTCAATAGCACTACTGTTTAAAACATTAATCAAATGATTAAACAGTATTGTCAGAGATTAATATTTTTGATTGCTTAAGCTTTACATTTAACAATTCTTCAATTAAAAATGTTCTCAATGAGTCCTGTTTTGCCAAACTGTGCAACTTTTAATAGTTCAAACATTCAAAGCTTTAACATTCAATGTATTTTGATAGATGTGAATTATGGTCCACTTACTTCAGAATAAAACTTCCAGCACCTAATAAGTAACATTTATTTGTGCATTATCAATCATTCTTTAAGACAAGTGTATTTTGTATGAATATTTGTTTCAGCAACTTCTGACAGAACAGAATGAAGCATTAGGGAAAAATGAGGCCAAGAAATTGTCCTATTGGTAGGAAATTAATAAAGCAGATGGTGCTAATTGGACATGGAACTACTTTCAAGGATGGACATTTTATTTCAATACTCTGGGCATCATTGGTATAAATTGGTGCATGCAAGTCAACATTTCTGATAATCAATTACAGGGTTGGTAGAAACAGAGGGAAAGTTTTCTTGAGAGGACTCTTGAGACCACATATTGTTTTTGAGCAGTTCCTTAGATATCAAGATTTAAGTTAGAAACAAAACTGTTTTGAAGCAGCGATTTTTAAAGTCATTCCATGGCTCCAATAAGGGATGTACAGAAACAAAATAATCTGCACTGGACAGGAAGCAAAACATGCCAACAACTAAACACTATGGCTTAATTCATGACTACACACCCCCAAAAGCCTTTGTCTTCCTCCAAAGGCTAGAGATCAAGCTCAATTAGGTGGACTAAGCACCCAATTATTTTCTGCACATTAAAAATTTTAATTTTCTAAAAGATGACACTTCTATAGCAGAAACATTTAAAGAAAAATCTAAGGCAAACAGGAGAGAAAAAAAAACAGGATTTCCTCACAATATTTATCTCAGAGCACTATTTTAAACTTCACAAATCTTATAGAGGAAAAAATGCACTGGAAAAGACTTAGCATTTTTCTCCTTTGGCTCTTAATAATCCAGCAGTAGATTGTAGATTGTAAATGTGAAGGGCAGGCCCAAGAGAGCTTACTACAAAAATTAGAATTTTGTAAAGATATTAAAAACGTTGGGAAATCATTCACATAAATAGTGTTACAAGCAGTGTGGACTGTTTGCTTTGTCTCATTCTGTCATAGGCACAACCAGAGTTGCTTTACCTGCACTGAATCTACTCTGCGGCCCCAACTCCTTCCAATTATCAATGTGAACAGCTCCCATCAGATTCTGTCTCCCACATTTGCTGCTATTCTAAATATAACTTTGCGTTCTTTTCCCATTCTCAACAAGACTCCTGCGATTGTCTAGCAGTGGATTTAGCAGACCTTTCTTGAATTATTTGCGGGCCTGTCTTGATTTTCTTGTGGGCTACTTACAATTTAGTTTAAACCCTGGTTAGCAGGAATTTATAGTATAGAAATGGGACCATTCAATTCCTCAAGCCTGGATAATGGCTAGTGTGTTGTCAACTTCAGCTGTCTCTCGATTGTCTTACCCAATAAGAAGAAAGGTAATTTGTGACTGGATCATTCAACAGAAAGCAAGAGAACATTTGAAAATACTGTGTTTTTTTCAGTTTAAAATATTATAATAAGTTGTGCTGCAGCCCATGCACAGTAATTACAACTTTTCAGGCTCCTTATGAAATACAGGCTCTGGCACACACAATATCATTTTTGCTGTAAAATACACTTCTTATCAAAGTTCTCTCTGGTTCAGTTCTCAAGGGAATGCCTTGACCAGAGTCAACCTGCTTGATTTAAATTTAAACAAAATTTGAGAGTCAGCTACCAGTCCCGGTACATTCCTCGCGGTAACACTTCTGCAAAAATCCACTCACTAACTATTCAGCACTCTCCGCTCATACAGTAACAATGTAGCCTACCCTTTGGTATTTCTCGTGAATTGTTCTGATGAGTGCAAGATGAAAAGCTTCAAAAAAAAAAATGGATCTTTTTCCAGCGATACTCAATTTCTCTACAACGAATAACACAATTATCATATGCAACATTTAAAAAATCTTAAAGCTATTAAAAACCGTGTAACAATTTCATGCATACCCAAAAATGCATTGATGTTAACAATCTATTTGCTTTAAATGTACACAGTTTAACATAAAAGCTGATACATTCACCTCAAAGATTGGGGGGAAAGATCTGAACTTCACATTTGGTAGGATGATTCAGTGAGTTTGCAGGGATTTTAAAATTCTGTGACTTGGTTTTATGTCCCGTCTAGCACAATGATATCAAAGTCTCCTCTTTGCTGGTGAGAATAAAGTTTGGCAGCATTAATCCAGTTCCTCATGGCCATAAGCCCACAGCACAGAATATGACAAACTGGCAAGCACATTCAATGCACAATGGCCCAGACCTTCTGGCTACCACAAGAAAAATCTGACCAATGATCCTCTTAAAGATTCTCCACTAATGGCCATTTTTATGGTCTGCTCTGGATGCCTACATTGTAAGAAATCAAACAGAAATCTACTCAGTGCATGATCAGAATTGGAGGCCAATACACCTTCCTTTTAATGGCAATAGCGCCATATTCCAGCAAGTAGAATATTTAAAATAACTAAGTACAATTGGGGAGTCCTAAGGGACAAAGCCATTGGACGAGGCCCTAAGGGACAAGGGAAGATTGGAAAGGAAACGGAATTGTGAAATAATAAGACATTTAGGAAAGACAGGAAGCTAGGAAAAGATAAAAGGATAGTTCTGAGTACAGTTGAGTGGGATGACCTTTGTTCATGAAACTTGGATGCGGTTATGGTTTGGGTAGAGATGTGATATTGTAAAAGCAAGACGACACCTGTGGGAGTGGTGTACAGGTCCTCAGCACTGACCACACAGTAGGATGGAGCATACAGGAAGAAAGAATAGTAACTTATCAGAATGGCAAGATGATAATCATGGAAGATTTTAAAAGTCAGGGGCATATATTACAGAAACAGACCTTTCAATCCAACTCATCCATGCTGACCAGGCATCTGAAACTGAACTAGTCCCGTTCGCCAGCGTTTGGCCCATATCCCTCTAAACCTTGCCTATTCAAGCACCTGTTCAAAATGTCTTAAATGCTGTAATTATATCCACCTCTACCACTTCCTCTGGCAGCTCATGCAGCACCCTGTATATCAAAAAGTTGCCCATCAAATCTCTTCCAAATCTTTCCCCCCTCAGTTTTGGATTCCCGTACCCTCTGAGAAAAGCCTTGGCTGTTCACCTTATTTATGTCCCTTGTATAAACTGCTGTAAAAGGTAACACCTCAGCCTCTGACGCTCCAGGGAAAAAACTCCCAGCCTATCCATATAAATCAAACTCTCGAGTCCCAGCAACATCCTTGTAAATTTTTTGCTGTACCCTTTACAGTTTAACAACATCCTTCCTATAGTTGTACACAGATTCCAAAAAAATGGCCTCACCAATCTCTTGTACAGCCCAACATGATGTCCCAACTTCTACACTCAATGCTCTGACCAATGAAGGCAAGTGTGCCAAATGCCACCTTCACCACCTTGTCTACCGGTGATGCCACTTTCAATAAACTATGAACCTGCACCCCTACATTCCTCTGTTCAACAACAGTCCCCAGTGCCCTACAATTAACTCTACAAGTCCTGCCCTGGTTTACCAAAAGGCAACACCTCACATTTATCTAAGTTAAAAGCCATCTGCAACTTCTCAGCTCACTAGGCCATCTGATCAAGATCCTGCTGTAATCTTAGATAACCTTCTTCACAGTCCACTCTATCAATTTTGGTGTCATCCACAGACTGACTAACCACACACCCTATATTCTCATTCAAATCGTTGATATAAATGACAAACAACAGTGGATCCAGAACTAATCCTTGTGGGCCTCCAGTCTGAATAACAGCCCTCAACCACCACCCTCTGTCTTTTACCATCAAGCTAATGTTGTATCCAGTCGGCTATCTCTTCCTGGATCCCACGTGATCTAACCTGACTAGCCACTCTACCATGCAGGACTTTGTCGAAGGCCTTGCTAAGGTCCACGTAGACAACGTCTACCACTCAGCCTTTATCTATCTTCTTGGTAACCTCAATAAATAACTCAATCAATTTCGTTGGACAACACTTCCCAAGCACAAAACCAAGCTGACTATCCCTAATCAGACCTTGCCTTTCCAAATGTATGTAAATCCTACCTCTTAGAATCCCTTCCAACAACGTACCCACTACCGGCAGCCTTTCTTAAACAACGGCAAAATGTTAGACACCCTCCAGTCTTCCATCACCTCACCTATGGCTGTCAATGATACAAATACTCTGCAAAGGATGCCACAATCTTTTCTCTAGCTTCCCTCAATATTCTGGGATAGGGTGGCATGGCAGTTTGGTGGTTAGCACTGCTGCCTCACAGGCAGGACCCAGGTTCAATTCCACCTTTAGGCAACTGTCTGTGTGGAGTTTGCACATTCTCCCCATGTCTGCATGTGTTTTCTTCGGGTGCTCCAGTTTCCTCCTACAGTCCAAAGATGTGCAGGTTAGGTGGATTAGCTATGGTAAATGCAGGATTACAGACATAGAATAGGGAGGTGGGTCTGGGTAGGATGCTCTTCAGACAGTCAACGTGGACTCGATGGACTGAATGGCTTGCTTCCACATTGTAGGGATTCTGTCATTCTCTACTTGATCAAGTCCTGGGGGTGTATCCACCTTTATGCATCTGAGACCTCCAGCATCTCCTCTTCTTGAATGTGGATGCTTTTCAAACTATCACTATTTACTTCAGAGTTCCCTCGCTTCCAAGTCTTTCTCCAGTAAGTACTGGGGCTAAAAATTTGTTTACTATCTCACTCATCTCCTGGCATCCTTATTAATTCTTCAGGGGCCCTTTACTCTCCCTAATTACATTTTTGTCCTTAATGCACTTGTAGAATCTCTTAGAATTCTGCGAGTCATAGAGATGTACAGCACAGAAACAGAGCCTTCAATCCAACTCATCCATGCCAACCAAATATCTTAAATAAATCTAGTCCCATTTGCCACCATTTAGCCCATATCTCCCCAATACCTTCCTATTCATATACCTATCCAGTTATCTTTTAAATGTTGTGATCGTACCAGCCTCCACCACTTCCTCTGGCAGCTCGTTCCATACAGCCATCAACCTCTACATGAAAAAGTTGCCCCATAGGATCCTTTTAATAAACTTTGCCCTCTCACCGTAAATCTATGTCTTCTAGTTTTAGACTACCCAACCCCGGGGAAAAGACTATTTACCCTATCAATGCCCCTCATGATTTTATAAACCTCTATCATTAATCTTATTTGCCAAAACTATCTCAGATTTCCTTTTTGCCCTCCTGATTTCCTTTCCAAGTGTACTCCTACTCCGAATTCATAGAAAAAGAACTTTCTGGAGTGAGCAAACAGCAGGCTATACTTGATTTATTATTGTAAATGAGACAGGCCTAATTTGGGATTTTACAAGCAAAAGCACCCAAGTACCAGCGACCATAATACATTTGAATTTTACATTCAGTTAGCACAAGAGTGGAGTGTGTAAAAAATTATTTTTAAACATTGAAACAAGGATAATTATGAAAGCATAGAAGCAGAGCTGGCGAAAGCGATTTGGCAAGTTAGGTTAAAGAATAGGTTAGAGATGCAGTGGCAGGCCTAAAGCGGATATTTCAGAATACTTGGAATAAGTACATTCTAAAGAGTCAGAAAAATTCCAAGCAACAGCCCCACCAACTGTGCTTAACTAAGAAGGTTAAAACATTGTATTAAACTTACAGTGAAAGCATATAATTGTGCAAGAACAAGTGGCAGGTTAAAACACTGGACAGACTAAACCAAAGAATATTCAAAACAAAGAAGGAAAATGACAATACAGCACAAGAGAAAGCAAGGCAGAAATAAGAGTAAGAGTTTCGATGAATAATGAGAAAAGAACAGAGTTAACAGTGTTCATCCTATAAGTCAGCCTAGAAAAATAATAATGGAAAACAAGATGGCAGTCAAATTGAACATTAGTAACCTCTATAGTGAAGACCAGTCACATTCCACATGAAATGTTAAATCAGGGAAAAAACAAAGGGGTTAACACATGAAAATCACAATTATCAGACAAACAGTACTGAATAAAATTGTTGGAACTGCAGGCTGACAAGTGCTTGGGGTTCTGATGGACTTCATCATAGCGTTTTAAAAGGAAGTGATTAGCTAATGAAATTTTATTTTTCCACATTCAATTGATTTGAAGAATGCCCCATTAGATTGAAAGATAGTGGTTATTCGAAAAGTAAGAGACAGATAAAAAGCAGAAAACTATAGGTCAGTTAGCTTGACTTTTGTCACCCGGAAAATGTTAAAAGCTATTAACAAAGAAATTGTAGCAGGGCACTTGGATGAGTTCAAGGTAATCAGGCAGAGTCAATATGGGTTTGTGAAAGGAAAATTATAATTACCATTCGATGGGAATTCTTTTGAGGAATTAACTGGTGGTATTGATAAGGATAACCAGAGAATGTACTGTACTTAAGATTTTCAGAAGGCATTTGATAAAGAGCCAAATCAAAAATTATTATGGAATGGTGTACAGTGTAACACATTGGTGTAGACAGAAGATTAGCCGGCTAACTGGCAACTGAGTGTAGGCATAACGTGCATTTTTCAAGTTGGCAAGATATAACAGGTGGTATGCCACAGGGATCATTGCTGGGGCCTCAATTATTTATAATTTACATGAAAAAGACAAATAAGGGATGATATGTATAGTTGTAAATTTGCTGATGATGCAAATGTGTGGAAAACTTATGAAGGGGACACAAGGAAGTTGAATCCGATACTGTAAGGTTAACTGAGTGAACAAAGATCAGGCAAACCGAGTATAATGTGGAAAAATATGCACTTCTCCATTTTGACAGGAACAATAAAGATGATGCAGATTTTCTCAATGGTGAAGGATTGCAGAATTCTGATATGCAGAGCACCCTGGGTGTCCAAGTGCATGAATCAATAAAAGTTAGCACGCAGGTACATCAAGCAATTAGGGAACCTAATTCTCATCTCTTTCTCTCCTTCACCATTATAAGCACCACCACTCGCCTTTTGTCCTAGTCACGTTTTACCATGTGTTTCATTTGTTTCCACACCCTCCATCTTTTGTTTACAACAGCATAGAACTACCACTCCCCCTTTCTGTTCTGAAGTCATATCAAATTCAAGACATCAACTCTGTTTTGCTTCATAAGTGCTTCCAGACCTACTACATCTCTCCAGCACTTTGTTTCTTACAAACATAGGGAGCTTAAGCTTCAGTTATACAGGGCATTGGTGAGACCAAATCTGGGGTAATGTGCACAGTATTGGTCACTTTATTTAAGGAAGCTGCTCTTTTTATTAGCCAGGAATTAAGGTAAGTTTTAATTGTTCTAACAATCCAATGACCCAAAGACCCAGAGATATGGGCCAATGATAACTGATCATAGAAATACTAAATAACCTGTAAAACAGGAATGGTGAAACACAAGAGGGGCAGCATGGTGGTTCAGTGGTTAGCACTGCTGCTTCACAGCGCCAGGGACCCGGGTTCGATTCCACCCTCAGGCGACCGTGTTTGGAGTTTGCACATTCTTCCCGTGTCTGCTTGGGTTTCTTCCGGGTGCTCCGGTTTCCTCCAACAATCGAAAAGATGTGCAGGCTAGGTGGATTGACCATGCTAAATTGCCCAAGGTGTTCAGGGATGTGTAGATTAGGGAAGTTATATGGGGATGGGTCTGGGTGGGATGCTCCAAGGGTCAGTGTGGACTAGTTGGGCCGAAGGGCCTGTTTCTACACTGTAGGGATGATATATGGATATGGATATGGAAGAGAAAAGGATAGGGGTGGAATCTTTACTGTAATTTGACACTTTTCCCATGTGACAAAACTAAAATAAACATGGTAAGGGGATATAAACTTGCCAATTTCTTCAATCATTATACCTTAAAATATTTTACCACTAAAACACCAACTTGCTATAATAAACTAAACAAATTATTTATGCAAGGGAATCAGCTCAAATCAATTCTTTGTTCGTACACATCCCTTATTTTTGAACAAAATATATACATTATACACATACCCTTGCTGGTATAATACTCTGCAATGTGCAAACTTCTGATGTAAGGTTTGACGACAGTGGCTGATCCTGTTCAGTCTCAAACTCAAGTCTGGCAGCTGTTTGAGTTCTTCCGTGAGATAACTGCCCAGATTGCACCATGTGATTCTGCTCTGAGACACAGAGCACTTCACTTCCAGTGCAATTCTTTTTCCTTGGTGATATTACATTAGAGAGTTCAGTAGATTGATCATTCAAAGTACCCACTTCATTTACCTTTTTGGATTTTATAAGCTTGGTAAAAGTGACAGCATGTGAAGTTATGCTTTCACAAACCTCCAGATGTTTTCCATTTTGATCAGAAGTGTCACAGTTGTGATCATTTTCTGAACTCTGTGTTGCATTTAGCTGGGAGAATGAGCCAAAACACTCCTGAGTATTTTCTCTTACATCTCCTTGCAAATTTTCAGTCGATGAATCAGAACAAATTGACTGGTCTATGGATTCAAGAATCTGTGAACCAGCAGCTGCAGTTTCTGGTCTTATAAGATCCAATGGAGGAAGATGTAGACAGTTAATTGAGGAGGCACCGTTATTAAATCCTTGTTCTGAAAGTCTGTTGCACATTACATTTTCTCTGGAACCAGTGTCTAAACTGTATTTGTTTGAACTAATTTCCAGTCGAAGTGGTTGAAAAGTTTTCAACCTACCATCTTCTAAAAAATAGAATCAGCTTTAGTCACATAATGCATGGCACATTTACAAAAAGTCAGTGTACATACTAGTCTGCTTATTGTACTAAGTACTTATTTTGTCTAATGAAACTAGCTGATAATTTATGCTAATTGGATTTATGAAATGGTTCAATGAAACATTTCAATGTTATAGGTGAATTATTTAGACATTTCATGTTAGTGCAACATGACCTTTCCAACACAAACTTGTTTGAGTTATTGAAGAAGTTACAAAGATGATTGATGAGGGCTGGACAGTGGATGTTGTCTACATGGACTTTAGCAAGGCCTTTGACAATTTCCGTCATACAGAAGGCAAAGTCACTTGGGATCCATGGTGTGCTGGTAAGATGGAGATAGAACTGGCTTGGTCACAGAAGACAGAAAGTAATGGTGGAAGAGAGATAGTAGGAACTGCAGATGCTGGAGAATCCGAGACAACAAGGTGCAGGGCTGGATGAACACAGCAGGCCAAGCAGCATCATAGGAGCAGAGAGGCTGACGTTTCGGGCCTAGACCCTTCATCAGAAAAGGGGGAGGGGAAGGGGGTTTTGAAATAAATAGGGAGAGAGTGGGAGGCGGATAGAAGAGGGATAGAGGAGAGGATAGGTGGAGAGGAAACAAACAGGTCGAAGAGGCGGGGATGGAGCCAGGAAAGGTGAGTGTAGGTAGGGAGTTAG